AAAGAGAAAAGGGATTTTTGTCGTTGGTCTGGCTGGCTGGCTGGAACGTTCCTTAAGTTTCTCCCCCACGTTGTTTGTACACCGGGCATGACGAGAGACCATGAGGAGGAGTTCCTTTGCAGTACACGGATTTTAGTGCAGTAGCTGCACAGCCGCCATTTTCATGCTTCTCCCCGCATGTAGAACAGCGTGCCTTGCTGTCACAGTGGGAGGCCGTATGTTCCAACTGCTTACAGTTTTGGTAGTTCATGACCCGGTGAACGAACAAGCGCACGTGTAGTCGAAGTTTTCCCAGCTCAATGCAGTGAGGGCTGAACCAGAAAAGGTCACCCGAAACGAGTCTATGGGGGTAAAGCTCTTTTTACCTGTTGACTGAGGAAACCACTTCAGCCACCACCGGATAGTGGTCTGAGCTGAGTTCCTGGTAGGTGGTAGATTGAGCGATGTTGTTGCCTATGTTGCTGATGAAAATATCGATGCTAGCGTGACTACCGGACCGACTCAACCGGGTGGGAGTGTCCGGACTCAAGTTGTTGTACTGCGCTTCCTGCAGGTCGTTGTTCAAGATGGTGCCTTTTTGATTGCGCCGACTGTTGCCCAAAGCTTGATGTTTGGCGTTCAGGTCGCCAGCGATGATGAAGTTGTCCCGCCGTCGTGTTAGCTTCACAATATCTCTTCGCAGGTCTGCTACCGATCCATCTCTGATGTTGACTTGTTTGGGGCAGTATGCCGCAACGATGGTGATGGGACCGACAGGAGTAAAAACTTCCACCCCTACGGCTTCGATAATCTTCTCCTTAGAGCGATAGCCACTCCTTCTCCCCGGAGCTGGTTCGATCCAGCCTCACAAGCCGAAAATCGGGAAGGAGGACGTGTGTTTGGGTAATGATGGCGACATCGATGTTTCGTTCGTTGAGGATATCAACGAACTCGATGTCCTTGCTCCTGAGCGAGCAAGCGTTCCAGTTGGCAATTTTGATCGCTTCACGGTTCACATTTATTGATGAGGGATACGGCAGCATGAAGCTGTTCTGTTCGGGTCCTGCATGTGCGCTGGATCTTGTTGATTTCTGTCACGAGTGTAACAAGTTCCGCCGATGTAAGGAGAGTGTCTGCATTCTCGATCGCAGGTGAGCACCTAAATGCTGCCACGATAGCCCCGGAGGGGGAGAGGTGCTTCTGGATGCAGCGGTTGCCGCATATGACCGACGACTTGAGTTTACCGGTTATTCACCCCAGCTGTTGGCGGGACCGATGCAGCACCAGCAAAATGGTGATGAGTGGAAGATGTCAGGAAAGTTCTGCCCGTAATTTTGTGGCACTCTTCAATAATTCGCAGAAAGGTGCGTGCTGCATGCCATTGTTGCAGCGGAAAGCCACGGTGGACTGGCTTGTACTGTTCCCAAATCACCACGATGTGGAAGAGGGACCGGGTGCTCTGGAGGTTCTTCAAGCATGTTGAATTCCTTTCCAAGTGGAGCAGATACAGCTGGTCACGGTACTTACGTGAAGCGTCATGAGATTTGGATCGACTGTAGTCCGTGTTGCTTCAATTGACCCGACAGTTTCCATGTCGGGAAGGTCACGCAAGACCACCTTGAGCGGCTGGGTTGCCTCAATATCATGTTAGAAATACTCCACATTTTTCTGTTTCAGCAATGTCTCGACGGCGTTGTAGTGGTTCATCGCTGGAGCCAGCTTCAGTGCACATGCGCATGGTGCACGTAGCTAACATCTCGAGAGCGCAAGTAGAAACCGAACTGTACTGCTTGACAAACATAATCACCAAACATTAATTTTAAGTCGGATATTTTTGAAACTCTCAGGGTAACACATATTAGCTCTGTTATTGCAAAGTTGGTTTTTTCAAACTCCTCTCCTAGGCTAAATGCCCACACCTTGGACTTAACGCTACCCATCAAATCCTGTGCAACACTTGCGCCATCATTCTTACACACTTTCATCCACTCTTTCTTCAAATCGTTGTCGATTTTGAAGACCTTCCCTGTTTTCCGGAGCTTGCCCTTCATAATCGCCCACAATTTTTCCATTGGGCTCTGGCGAGTTTGGCGAATTTGCCTCCTTCGGCACAGAAACAACATCGTTGGCTTCGTACCACTCCATCGCAGGTTTCGCGAAATGGCACGATGCCATCGGGGCCTCCCTTAGCTCAGCCGGTAAAGGCGCAGCTACAAAGCAAGACCATGCTGGAGGTGGCTGGGTTCAATTCCCGGTTCGGTCTAGGAATTTTTCGGGTTGGAAAATTTCTCGACTTCCCTGGGCATAGAAGTATGATTGGACTTGCCACACAATTATTCTAATGCAAAAATGGTACAGGCATCGAAAGCTCTCAATTAATAACTGTGGAAGTGCATCTAGAACACTAAGTTGAGAGCACGGAATAAGCTAATATGCGATATGCAATAAGCTTGAAATGCGAAGAAGAAGAAGACGATGCCAAAACAGAGTATCACTTTCGTGGAACCGGAGGAAGGACACCAGCTGCTTCTGGAGGCATTCTTCTTTATATATTTGGCCGTTGATGGTACCGGTCGTTATGTAAGGCTTGCTGAATTTGCCGCACCCACAGATCGCCTGCCACACTAAGTACTTCTTGGCAAATCTGTCGATCTTCTTCTTCCGGAACTTCTCCGGAACATCCAGGCGGGACTTGCCAACGAAAAACTCCAGGCCGGGGATTTGCTTGGCGTCCGCTTTAATGTACGCCTCATCGTCCATTACGATGCATTTCGGCTGCACCAGCCACTCGCGGTACAACTTCTTGGCGCGGGATTTGGTCACCGTATTCTGTTTATCGGTTCGGTTAGGCGCCTTCCTTACCTTGATGACGCTTCATTGTCTGCTGACGGAAGAATGGACCTTCTTGGCTCGAATCGAAAAATTCGGATTGCGCTTGAAGTAAACCCTCACCTTCCTTGCCTTCTTCGCTTTTCTTCCGCTGCCAGCTCACCGCTGGGTCGTCTGGGTCTCCTTGAACGATTTTACCACACGGGAAATGGTCGAATTGTCGATTCCAAGCTGTTTCGCGATCCACCTGTGGGATTGGCCTGGATTTTCCACGACCGCTCCGGTTTTTTTTTTTGTCGAAGCACTTCTTGCTTGGAAGTCATCTCGATAACCACTTGACAGATTGTGACTAGATTTTGCACATATAAACATTACACTCTAAACTTGTCATAATGTCATAAATTTTTACCCATGCAATAAAAAGTTATAGACAAAAGAAAGTGTTGCATTGTTTTTCGAGTACAATCTTTACAAATAAGTGGTTTTCAGGATACGTTCGGTAATTACTTCGAGGAGAGTCACAGAGACCTTATAAAGCTGGATGTTTAGTTCAGTAAAGTATATTCAAAGAAACAAGTGTAAAATTCAAAGAATCTATGGAAATTAAGAGATTAGTCCACGTGGAGTGCGACACATTTGAATTTCAATTTAAGATCGTCAAAAAAATCTCACGATACCGAATCAATCTACGAAAAATCTTATTCCATCTCTTGCATCTAAATTCATTTACTTGCATTGCTCTCCACCAGGAAATCTTAAATCTACATCAATCTTCCTTCTATCTAATAAGTGTGAGCGCATCTCACAACAGCAAAGCAAAATTTGTCCTGCATCTTAGATAGAGTCGCTTCTCTCGACAGTACATGTTAAGGGACATTCCCCGTGCAAGCCTAGAAAACATTCAGACCATGCATACAAGATCTTTACCAAGCATTTCCAGAATATGTCCAGAGGCTAACAACTTCTTGGGAAATTACGGAAATTCTAGATTCTAGAATGATTTACACGCTATATTGTTCTGAGTACTTAGGACGGATGACGTCCAAGACATGGGAAGTTGATTGATCATCCTGGTCATGTTTGAAACTAACTTACTGGAAGAAGGTAACTTACAACGTGTTTCAGAGTTTTGAGCAACAACAGTGCACAATTTGCTCCATTCCAACCGAATAGAAATGTCTCTTCTAGTCTTCGTTCGCTGAACGGATCAATTTCCTTATCAAGCAAACCAACAGAGCTACCTAATCCGATAATCTTCCGTGCATGATTTTTCAGAGTGCAAATCACAACCACACTCTCATCGAACACAAACAGAGATACCTGGTCTCTGCCCGCGCAGAGAAACCCTCTCGCATCTTCGACCACCAAACTGCAAACACCATCAGCTGCTTAGTCCCCGGATAAAAAATAATAGCATAAGCAAACCCTAAAAAAGATAAATATATTATAAACTCTATTGTTTGAGATAAGATTCACAATTCATCTTATAGTAAGTTTATCTCTTAAGAGGCTACAACAACAATATATTTACAATATACAATCCTATACATTGCAAGATTTTACCATACAAAAACAATGAATTAATGCAAATTTACAATCAATTTTATGGTAGAAAACAATATATTTAAATGCATTTTTCACCATCGATTTTATGGTGTAAACAATAGGTTTTACTGCATTGTAACAATTGAGGTGCTGTAGAGTGAATTTCTATGATAATTTTTTATTAGGGTCTCCCTCCTCGTTCGTACAGTCAGTGATCAATCCGACGATCCGTACCGAGAGCTGAGCTGAGACTATGCATGTGTACATGCAGTACAGGTAGCATTGCCTTCATCGTGCACCACCTTCATGAGACTGTGTGTATGGGGACAGCAAAATTTGCGATTTCCAACCACCACAGACTTTTCTTAAGACTTTCCCCGTCGTTCAACCAGATGGATGTCGAACAAAAACAACAACAGTTGACGGGTGGCAAAAATCGGGAGAGGAAAATTTGTCACCTTTGGGATGTCCTTGATCGTGGCGACGGAAAATCTATTTTCGCAATAACAAATCCGTCTAGGGATGGAATCTACTCCCCCCGAATGGCCATCCCCACCAGCCGTTCCGAATGGGATGAGTTGACAATCCTGCATCACCATTGAGTACCATCGTCACCATCAGCGACGAAAACCAGGAAGTTCACTCACCTGTTCGTAGACGCTGGCAAGCACTGCGGTCGGAAGCATCCGCAGATCCACGTAGGTCCTGTCCATGCTGGTGACTTTGTAGTTCAGATTTTTCACGTAAGCCACCAGGCACGAATTGTACAACGAAGGAGGTTCCCTGGCCATCCTCCTCGCTCGCTCGCTTGCCGTTTTCCTCTCCCGATGTGCTTTTTTCACCTATTAGCTCTGATGGGAGGCTACTTCCGCGATTGGTTCACTTCTTCAATTTTTCGATTGAACACTGTTGGATTTCACCGTGGCACTACTTTCTACACTCGGAACGGCAACGAATCCGTCCCTGGAAGTCCTATTGCTTCGCACTTTTTTGCACTAAAATCTGACGGAGGAATATTGTTGGGAACTGGATGGCTGCCTCTGTCGACGATGATGACACGGACACACGACACACACCAAGTTGATTTTTGGGGTTGAAGAAAAAAAATTGCTCTCTTCTTCGATTTGCTTGCTGGCTGCCGATGGCTGCTCTCCTCCGAACCGAACCGACGAACTACATTCCAAAATACGCGACGAAGAACTGACGAACGACGACGGCGATGAACGGGCAAACGAACGAATAGTTTTTTTTTCTGTGCATGAGAAGGAGGGAGGATGAAAAAGATAAAAGCAAATGAGGAAGGAGCAGTGGCGCTGTTGGAAAAGAGGGGTTCCAGGTGCATACTAAACTAAACCTATTCTTTTTTAGTTAAAACGCAGATAGAGGACAGATCTCGGTTCAGATCTAATTTACTACCCGTAAAAATAAACCATAGAGGTACTGCACCAATGAAATGTGTTGTAACCATACAATAGAATTTATTGTATTTACAATACATCGATAGTCCACAACGATAAAAACCCATAGAATTTATTATTTACATAATAGAATCAATGGTAAATTTGGAAATCAACAATAGAACAAGTGGGTTAGGGCATCTATAGCGGTGGTCTGATCTAGATCGAAATTTATGTCACATTTGAACCAGCTAAAATTAAAAGGATCAAGCCAAAATAGATCAAACTGTGTGCGTACGCACAGGTTAGTCTATGTTTGGCCGTCCTATTTCAAACGTCAAAACCAACTCACACCCTGATTTCGTGGTCAGCCATTTTTTAATCTCGTACTCATTCATACATGGTTTTTATCCGGCAATTACCGTGAAATTGACCTCCGATGGCTGCCTCCGGGATTAATGTGCGGCTTTATCAAAAAGCCTTGAACTGCTCGTCCTCCTGCTCCTCGTGCTTCCCAGTCAAAGAATAATAAAAACATGTATTTATTGAAATTTGTCTGGTATTGTTGCGTGTTGGGTTTTGGCCCAAGTCAGAAACTGGACAATTCCCTGGGGGTACCCGGAACATACCAGAATGTGGCCAATGTGGATCTGGACACTATATTTGACTTAAACTGATCTTGTTTTTCAATTTCTGTGAGATTTTATGTGTCAAATCACAGGATTTGGATCATATCAGAAACTAGTCACTTCCCTAGGGGTTTCTGAAAGATGCTTGGAAGTAAGAAAGGTGGTCCTGGGCACATTATTTGACTTCCATTGATCTTGGTTTTGAAATCTTATGTGATTTGCTATGTGGCGCATGATGGGTTTTGGATTAAATCAGAAACTGGCCATTTCCTTTTAGGTGCCCGGAACATATCCGATAGGGGTCAACATGATTCTGTGCACTATATTTGACTACCATTGATATTGCTTTTGAAATCTAATGTGATTTGATGTGTCACATGATGAGCTTTGGACAAAGTCAGAAACTGGCCACTTCCCTGGAAGTTTCCAGAACATGCCGGGAAAATCCTGCAGAACAGAAGCGTCCGGATGTTTCCCTTGTGATCCTTTCACAGCTGCGATGACAGGGCCGGCAGCAACAGCAGCACCGATAGCGCGATAGAGCTGGAACTACACCAATGTCAACAGCAGTCGATTGTTCCGCCCACGTTTCTTAGAAAATCGAGGAACTAAATCGGTTTGTTTTGCTGAAAAAACCCAACAACGAAACAAAACAAAACAAAATCTCGAGTTCTTTTGGTACACACAAAGAAAATTCATTAGTTAAATTAAAAAAGTCGTTGGTGGAATTAAAAGTTTGCATTGGTTCTTTTTGGTAGAAAGCGGAAATATTTTAAAGTAAAAGCTTGCAAGTTCTTAAATCAAAAACGTCACTTATTCATATTTTTAAAAGTCGAAACTTTTAAACCGAATTGTAGAAATGTCAAACTAAAAATGTAGGACTGTCGAGGTGATACTTGAACGATTTTATTTCAAAAACAAGTATGTTTAATATTAAAGCTTCCATTTTCATTTTATACTCGATTTTATATGCCTTTAAATATTTCTTGAAAGTTTTTAACAACAGATCCATATACATGTTTATTAACATCAATAGTTGTTATTTTACATTTTATATCGTACCTATGCTATGATGCTACTCCAGAGCTGTCTGCCAGTAAAGCTAAGTTTAGACAAGGCAAGTCAATTGATCAAGTCAGTTGAATTCAACTGACTTGAACGCGAATTGAACGTGTAAACCATGCCATTCAACTGACTTGATCAACTCACTTGAATTGAAAAAAGTTGAACCAGGCTCAACTTTTCAAGCCAATTGATTTCAACCATAGAGGTAACTCTAAGACAAGTAGGTTCCGAAGAAACGTGCTCAACTTTTTGGCTCACCTCTGGTACTATCTTCGGTCCCAAGCTTGTCGAATCACCCCTCGAAACATAGGAAAAACCAATAACCCCTCATTTTATCTGTCAAACTTTCATAGCGAATCAAAACAAACATTGTGTAGTACTAGAATTTCGACTAGAATAGGGTACGTTAATCGTTTGCTTGGGACCAATAGGCTTCTAAAGTGGTGAGCCAATTTAAAATCGTTAGTTTCGTATTGATTGTTGATTCAACTGAGTTGATCATTTGACTTGCCTAGTCTAAACCCAGCTTAAGAGTCAGAGTTTGTTGAGCAGTTTCTGTCGTTCTCGGCAGTGGCACGGTTGACTTTCTTGACATGGTTAGTTAGCATAAAACGAAGGAGGAAGCACCGAAGACGGTCGTCATCCCGAAAACCCTTTTGGTCCGAACAGAACAGCAAGAAAGTATTCCCACAGAGAGAACCTGTGCATTATGGAAATCCTAGCAGGTGGTCATGACGATGCCCGGGCGTTGTACAAAGGGCAGCAATCTGCGCCTTCAAAATAGAATATTCCAAGCGTATACGTAGTGCCAGTGCTATGATATTATTTTTTTGAATATGCTTATATTCGTCGTACCTGGAAGTGAATAATTATAGTGAATTTAGTATTTTAGTACTATCAAAATGTTCAGAAACCTATCTTGAAATTAACTAGGAATAAACTATGGAAATGGCGAGGGAAATGGTATGTTCATTAGCATTCCCGGGTGATGTGAAAACTGAGCTCATTCTTTGGGTTTCCTCATCTTCGCATCGCCATCCTTACGGTGCAGACCTAAAAGCAGAAAGCATATTTGCATGGTTGGTGCTGTGGTGTTTACTTTCATTTCGATTTAGAGGTCTTAACACTTACTGTAATGGTTGAATCCGGGTACATTATAGGCTCATGGTCTCTTGGAAACGTTGGGCGTTCGTATATAACGGATAAGCTGGGTATATTTCACCATTTCACGAGATGCAATGACAACTTCTGCACACTCGGATGAAGTACAGATTCCATTTAACACTTGATTTAACTATAATCTTATTAACTGCCCCTGCTTAAGAGCTCTGTTAAATGTTTGAACAGAGTCGGGTAGTATCACTCCATCATCCGATATCATATATTAAGAAAAGCTTGAAAGGATTCTAATCCAATGATAATACCGCTTGGAGCAAATCAAATACAGAAATGTCATACAAAGTTAATTTTGGCGCAAAACTGTCGGATGATAGAAAACATACAGAGGTTATTTTGACAGTACAACAACTTTTCTTTTGAAAGATCACACTTTAAAAATAGCAAGTAGAATGTGAAAGATCAACTTTTAAACTAAAAGAACAACATTTGCGGTGAATATTTTCATAGTTAATATCACTAAATTCGGGAAACTTTTATATTAAAAATGTGATATTTTTACTAAAACAATTTTTATTTTTTGTGTGTAGTTCAATTCATATATTGGGCCGTATGAATAAAAAGAGTTTACTTTACTTTCCCGTGCTTTTCTTACGGGGAAAGTAAAGTAAACGCTTTTATTCATACGACCTATTTAAAGGAAAAATGTTCGTTTATTCCTTTGGTTTGCCAAATCCGAACTGCCGTGCCTTCCGCTTAACACCTTCCATTAAATTTTGCACAGTGGTCTCATGGAACTTATTCGCCGCCGAACGCCAGTTAGATTTAAACTGCTGCTCGTTTTCCATGGATTTATTAGTTTTTTTTTTTGAGATTCCGTTTGACCAAGGCCCAGTACCGTTCGATAGGGTGTAGTTCTGGGCTGTTGGGAGGGTTGTGGTCTTTGGGTACCACAACCACGTTGTTCGCATCGTACCACTCGATTGCGTTTTTCCCCGAGTTTTTCCCATAGTGGCAGCCCACCAAGTCCGGCCAGAACAGCACAGGTCTATTATGTTGCTTTAGGAATGGTAGAAGCCACTTTTCCAGACACTCCTGGACGTAGATCTCTTGATTGATGTGTTGCTACGCTAACTAGCAACGCTGGTCATCTAACCGATAGCACCGGTGAAACTTGACAGTGGCGGCCGATGACAGGAGTGACGAATGACAGGTAAAAGGAGGTAAAGGAAAAAGCTCGTGTGAACGGCGAACTGAAGTAGATTCACTGCTGGACTGGTGTCTCATATACAAAAACGTTAATTTAATTGGAAAAATACCTCTAAAATTTGTTAAAATTAATTATTCAACAAGTGAATTCCTAATACTAGTTATTATTTACATACAGAACTACCTAATCTCTAAACGTAAGCAATAAATTGATTATTCTATTTCTATGCTGAACTTAACCTAAAATTGATCCAAACAGGCAATTATTGAATCATGGTGATTGTACGGATTCTCGTAGCGTTCGAACTTAATTAGTTGCTAAATCTTAAACTATACCCTACTAGTGGAAATCAAATTGGATATAATCTAAAACTACGAAGCCTACACTAAATTGTAAGTTGATCTACCTTAATTAGTTAAAACGTGCACACACTAAACAAGAAATAAATATTACAGCTTGAGCTAGTGTAGTGCAATTTGTTCGAGGAACAGATGGTTCCCGTAGTAACTTGGACAATCGCTACTGTGCTGTATATTATCAACATCGCATGTATAAGAACGATAGCAACACTCCACTCAATCAATCTCATATTCCAAACAGCATCACAGCACATAGCATATGTGGAACTCGATAATAAAAAATCGACCCCATTTTAGTGATTTCAAGTGGTATAGAAAGGCATCGATCTGTCAAATTTATTATACCAGCTTTAAAATGAGAAAGGGGATCAAGGGGGTAGTCAATTCTATTAAAATAATTATAGCGTGGTTTATAATTCTTTGTCTTTTTAGA